ACTGGGAGAGGGTTAACCATACAAAATACCATGGAGTCTCCCTTTTTTTTTCAGATGCCATTACAAACACAACAGACAAATCCCTCAATTGCAGCAAAGCTTCTTAATATTTGATGCAGAAATTTTCAGAGAACAGTTTTTGTTAGAGTATTTACTGGAAAGAGCACATAATGGGATAATTCAATCTCATATCGACTAAATATTTAAAAAAACTTAAGTTTATATACTATACTACTACTACTTTGTTATTGAGTTAAGTGATACTTTGAGACTCACGTTCGCAGGGCTGAAAATAGTGAGTTATGTTGTGTTATTTTACGCTTTATTACTTACTGCATTGTGTTTTTTCTGTAAAAATGTGTGAATCATTTTAAGAGAGCGATCTAATCCACGCCTTATCCTGTCATTTACTTTATTTTTTTGAATTCATATTTCCAACAATTTTCGAATCTATTCAGTTTATCCAACCTGTGTAGAAAAAACCTCCTCCATAAAACCATTATGGCTGCAAATGAGTCGATCAAGTTTTATCTCATTCATGTTCGGTTCGTTTATTAAATTGACCTCAAAATTTTGTTCAAACTTAATTTATTTTTTAAACGAATGAGCCACTTCCTAAATTGAGACAATTGCACCTCTTAACTAAAAGGGAAAGAATATAATATGAAGATCTGAATATATATTTAAATATGCACACAAGCTCAATTTGTTCACAAGTCTAAGTCAAACTGAAAAAAAAAATCATGTTCAAGTTGGACTCGTTTATTAAGTGAGCTTCAAAATTAGATTCAAGGTCAGTTTATTTGGAAAATAAAAGAATATGGATGAGCTTCAATCTGAATATGTATTTAAATATGCACACACAAGCTCAATTTGTGCACAAGACTTCTACTAGCTTTTGATGGACTGACTGTAAGGTGTTGCAGTCTTAGTCTATGTTTCTTTGCTTTGTTTCTGTATCCCTTTTGGGGATTGAATGCTGCTGTGTACATTTGCTTATTATTCAATACATCTTCCTGGTTTATTTACCCCCAAAAAAAAAGTCTAGGCAAACTGAAAAAATCATGTTCAAGCTCAATTCATTTATTAAGCGAGCTTTAAAATTAGATTCAAGCTTTATTTATTTAGAAAATAAACGAATATAAACGAGCTTTAATCCAATTTGATCCTGAGCCGGACTCTTGCCATTCATGAACAACTTGACTCATTTGCAACCCTAAAAACCAGGCACCCTAAAGCCTCAAAAATCACCTTTTTTGATTGAGGAGAGGGGAGAATGTCTATTATTTTGAGGGCGTGTTGTGTACTCTGGTATCTACCGTGCTTAGTCTTATGTCTTAACTAAAGAAGGATGAACGGGCTAGGATCTATGAGGAGAAACTTCTTATGAGCTTCTACTAAACTAGTAGACCAGGTTTTAGTTAATGCATTGATCTATGCAATTAGAGTATGCTAGAGTAACCTTAGAGCAAGTCTTAAAAAGACATATTTTGTATCCAAAATTCTTTCATCCATATATTACCAATTATTTTCATTTTATTTGTGTCTTCAAGTGTAGCAAAAGCAATGTTGGACCCAGCTGGGTCACCATGTCGAGTTGAGGAACTCAAGTATGGCCCTGAGATGGAGCTCAGTTAGGCTCTGAAAGCTGAATCTAAACCCTGAACACTATGTAGTAGTCCAGCACAACCTAGTGTTTGGGTGGTTAGGGCTAGGGTTAAGGTAACTTTCATTTCTCTTTCTTCCTTTGCAGCTCTTTAGAGTTGACCTGCCAATAAGAGCTCCTGTTCTGGTTCATTCAAACCCATACCCTAGTTTTGCACTTCTAGGCAGCTGAAACTGTAATTTTCTTCTACCTTTTCGTATCATACCTTTAATGTACAACAAAAAAACTTGACAGGTATAAAGTTGTTTAATTTTTTATTTCACTTTATTTTGTTATTTTAACGATCAATGATTATAAATAATTCAAATAAAGATATTACGATCAATGACTGAAAATAATTCAAATAAAGATCAACGGTTCATAATTAATTTTGGCATGATATCAAAAAAAAAAAAAAAATTGGTGGTACCATAGTTTTATCCTAAAATTCATATGCTCTCTGTGGCCAAGAAATATCTGTAGGATTTGTGCTATTCAACAGAGACGAACAACATTGACTGAGCAACAAACTCTTGGCCACCGAGAGCATATTTGGAGAAAGATTGGATATTGCTTACCCAAGAACAAGTTAGGGAGTACCACAAAAATAGTGGTTTCCCAAGGTGTATTGCTAAAGTTGATATCATGAAGGTCTATGATACCATTGACTGGGGATTTTTTTTAGGGAAGATGTTATCTAATGGACCCTAAACCCAAATGGCCTCTTCTCATCTGCCTCAGCTTGGAACCATTTGAGGACTCATTCCCCAGTTGTCCCATGGCACCACCTGGTCTGGTTTAGTCATGTCATCCCCAGGATGAGCTTCATACTCTGGTTGACTATCAAAAGAAAGCTCAGCACCAAGGCCATGACCCAATTGTTTTCTCCCCATCTGGGTTCTGATTGCACCCTCTACAGGCTATCTAATGAATCCCACAATTATTTGTTCTTTGAATACCAGTACTCCCACTATATTTGGTCCTGGTTAATGCAGTTGAGTGGAGTTTATTCGCTCAAGGGCCCTTGGCAACAAGTTTTGGTTTAAAACTGAGAATCGGACGGGCAAATCTATGCTTAATGACTTCAAAAGCTCAATCTACAGGTGGTTAACTATTGTATATGGAGGGAAAGTAACTCCAGGTTACACTCCAACATATTGGGATCATAAAGCTCTGCGGCATACCATTCTCCAAACCATACGAGAAAGGGTTGCGTCTCTCAAGTTTAAAAACTCAACAAGGAACCGTAGATTAGTTCATGTCAGGCAAATCTATGCTTAATGACTTCAAAAGCTCAAGCTACAGGTGGTTAACTATTGTATATGGAGGGAAAGGAACTCCAGGTTACGCTCCAACAAATGTAGGGATCATAAAGCTCTGCGGCATACCATTCTCCAAACCATACGTGAAAGGGTTGCGTCTCTCAAGTTTAAAAACTCAACAAGGAGCCATAGATTAGTTCATATCAGGCAGCTTCCTAGTTCCTTCCTTGCATAGCATTCTGTAGATCCTTTGATATAGGAGCCATGGTATAAGGGCTACTCTGTTTGGGATAATTAGTAGATTCCTTGACATCCTATACAGAATATGCCTTCTTTTGTTTACGCATCAGGCTCTTCCCTAGGAGTGCTTGCTTGTTTTATATGGTGTTACCAATCATGTACATCTTACTTATCTTGTAGAAATGAAACTCATTTACCTTTCGAATAAATAACTCAAGTACCTAAAAGGTCGAGCTACTTATTCAACACATATTTTTCTTGATTTGTCATTGGGGGGAAAGGGGTTATCAGGACAACCATAATTTTTAGAACTTCTGTACGTCCCAATTGGATTATTCAATTTTCAATCTAATTTGGACATTTCGCTTCCACATTCTCCTGTTCAACTTGAGAGGGAGTGATGAAGATAAAATCAAGTCAGCAGATATGATCATTTGACTAGATGAAATCAACCAAACCAATTTTTCTATCCCCGATTATCTCTTGAATTCTTTTTTATTTTAGTCGTGCTATGAGCTTATTAGAAGGATGTTCGACAATATTTTTGAGGCACAAATGTTGCACAGGATTTATATTATGCATAACAACCTAAGATCAAAATGGTTTTTTTTTTTTTTGATCTTTTCTTTAAAAGAAAATTGTTTTTAAGAAATATCCTAGGCCCTATTTGGATGGTGATAATTTTAGCTGTGAATGATAATCGCATTTATAAATTCATGAATTACCATATTTGGATACTTAACAAGTCACTAATCTACATCGAGAATGAGATCACTGTTGAAATTAAATCTCCAATGAATGGGAATCATGAACCCATCATCTATTGTAGTAATTTCATAGCTAAATTAATTGTGCATTCTTTTAGAAAAAAAAAAAATATTCAAAATCTTCTTCCCAAAATTTAGTTAACTATTAAAGTCAAGCTCTCTTTTTAAAATCATGTTCTTTCCTAAAATAAAATTCATTACTAAAAATAAAGGTAAAATAGATATTAATTCCCATAAAAGATAATTGATGATGTCAAATACTAAGATTACTATGATATTTGAAATTTGAATATCCCTTTATTTGAATGAGATACTCGTTCCCAATTAAAATTACGGTCATCTAAATAGGACTAAACGAAATGCCAGATATTCTTTTATTTGGAATGAGATACTTGTTCCCCATCGTGATTGTTGTCATCCAAACAAAGCCTAAACATAAGGTGAAACTTTGCATGCGAAAGCAAACTCATTTCGATAAAATCTAAGATTATTGAGTAATGCTAAATTTTGTTTTTCATTTAAAAGGATCTGCAATAAGCTCAAAAAACTATTTTAATAACTTAACTAGAATGACATTCTTTATGTCCTCGTGTTGACTATCCCCAAAGCATCAGAAAACCCCCAAAAAAATTAGAAGATATGTTATAGTCATTGCAGGTCTTCAAGAGGACAATGGGAAACAGAAGAATAAGAAAAAATAAATCATACAAGATCACATGTGCCTTGATTATTCTATCAGCATTGCATTCAGTGCTACTTGTAATAAACTAAACTGTTGTTATTACAGGAATGAAATAGGCTTCAACACTTTGCTTGACTGATCATTTGAATGGTTCTCCTCAATAAACTTTCAGTTAAGATTGAAGTCTAACCTGTAACCACATCTCAGCTGTTCATTGCTTCTATTTTTCAAGGATGATTTGGAAAATGTGCTAGAAGCTACAATGTGTGCGTGTGTGTGTGAGAGAGAGAGAGAGATAGAAAGGTAGGGGGGGGGCAAATATCTTCTTTGGTCAGAATGGTAAAATTCACAGTGTGAAACCAAACAGAGGAAAAACTAAAAGATAATTCAATTCCATGCAAAACCAACTCCAAATATCAAAAGAGTTAGGAACTTTCAGTTCATATCTAACTCCCTGTTCCACCTGCATGAACACCACCCCAAATCTAGTTCCATTTTATAGTTCATAGTACACACCAATACAAGCCTATCTTATGCTCAGCTTCAAGCCAAACTCGCTCTGTCTGTGTGTATGTGAGAGCTCAAAAAGCTGTCCCCAAACCTGTAGAAACAACAAAACTTATCTCCTTTCTTGCATGACCCCATTTGTCAGCTTGGTGGGGTTCTCTCTCTCTCTCTCTCTCTCATTCATAGCAGACTAAAACTTGCACTCTTCCCTCAAAAATTATAAGAATCCATCTTGAAACCGATTGATCGATGAAGGATCCAAACGCTGCTGTGTCCCTGTATAGCTCCGACCCCAATTCAATCCTTCCTCCTGATTATGCAGTGACATGTCTCTACCACCACCCCCAACTCCTCCTGCTGATACCGCCATATCTGGCCCTCTGCTGCTTCCATTACCGTGCGCAAAGCCTTGTCCCACAGTTCCCACTGGTGCACCAATGCAGGTGTAGTTATTATCCGCCGGAACAGACGCATAGTTTTGATTCAGTTGATTGTACTGAGCGTTGCTGGAGAGAACGTGACCGACGAAGTAGTCATTCACTTGGTGTTGGGTGTATTGTGAGGTGTAGGGGACCATGCGCGGCGGCGATGTGTACATATATGGCTGCGGTTGTGGTGGTGGTTGTCCTGGTGGAGATGATGGTAATAGTGTGGATGACGAACCAGGGAACATTCTTGTTGGGTAGACTGGTCTGAATGGTAGTGTTGGATCACCTATGTGACTTGCTTGATGATAACCTCCTGATGGGATTGGTTGGCCTCTGCTAATTATGCAAAGTAAGAACAACAATAGCAACAAGATCTGTATTCCTGAACATCTAGGAAATCAGATGGCTACCCTTATTTTATGTTTAAAAATCTCTTTCCAAAAATCTTTTTTTTTTCTGAAAAATGAATGAAATCAAGGGGGTATCGTCTTTACTCCAAAAATACCTCTGGGTTATTAGATTTTTGCTTCTTTGAAGCTACATCTATGAAAACAAATGGCCACCCAATTTTATTCTTAAAACTATCTTTTCAATCAATCAATCAATATATATATATATATATATATATATGTATTTATAGTTATACGTTAACATCTGGGTCATTAGATTTTTTCTTGTTTGAAGCTAAAAAGATATTGGAAAATGGTAACAAATGGAGGTGAAGGTGAGAGAAAAATGAAAGGAAAAAGAGAGAGCATAGATTGTTACATACCCCAGGTGATGAGCCCCTTGGGCTAGCAGGTTATCGTTACTGAAGACCAGCTGGCGAGCCCTGTTGAGGGTTTCTGTCTCCCTCTCTGAGTACCCACACACACACACACACACACAGCACAAATCAAATCAAAACTGAATGAACAGTTGAACACCCACCAGGAATTTCAGAAAACTCTTGACTCTTATGTTTTTGTGTGGAAAACAAGATTGACATGACTACGCTTCACGGCAAATCATTACCAAACAGTATCGATTCTCTGAAAGTAACAAAACTGCCTCTGCTCAAAACTCTTGTTCTCGCTCCTTGTGTTGGAATATGGCTACAGTTCTTTATATTATACTCATATATGTGTATATTTGGGTGTGTGTATGTGTATGTGTGTGTATGAGAGAGAGAGAGAGAGAGACAGGAAAAGACTTGCCTTGGCGGTGGCGGTTCATGTGCCCCCCTAGGGCTTGAGATTTGCAGAACTTGAGGGAGCAAAACCTACATTCATAGACCTTCCCACAGTCATCTTTTCCATCCTTAGCGCCGCTTTTCTTTTTCCTATAGCCTGCTACAAAATGCCAATTAAAGCAACTTTGATGAGACTAATCTTACCAAAAGCCGAACCCTTATTGCCCTAATCATGAATGAATACTCAAGGCTTCAAGCCCACAATCTTCTTTCTCTACTTACCCTTTGGTTTTTCTAGGGTTTTCACTCAAACCCTCCAAATAAAAAATGAAAAATAAAGTAATAAAGAAAAGAAAATCAAGGAAATTAAAAAGAAGAATAGGCCACCATTGAGGAGCTTGAAATTTTTCACCTTTTGAAAAAACAGGAAGAGTTTGATTTTTTCTACACCAAAATCTTTAGAAACCATGCTGGTTTTAACTTTTGTTCTTGTGATTGTGAAAAAAATTGAAAACTACTGGTCAAACTGTTTTACACAGTTGGGAGGAAGTGATGTACCAGCAGATGAAGACGTGTCGTCAAGGGCCTGTTTACCATCTCTAATGTAATCCTCTGGTAAGTTGTTGAGGTCTAGGGGGTTTCCTTCTGGCCTCCTGAAATCAAAGTCACAAAAGCATAAGAGGAGTTAAAGGGGATAAGAGAGAGAGAGACAGACAAACAAACAGACAGGGGGGGGGGGGGGGGG